GGTCTCTATTTCGCATCAGTCTGTCTCAAGCGGCCGGCTCATTTCACATGTATTGCCATCATATGATATCTCTTCGGGGGCATGTTCGCCTCGTGGCTAGAATAATTAATGCCTCATGTTAATTTCTTCGGATGACAATATTGCAGGGTTTGTCGAGTGACGCAATCTTCGCCTGCTTTGCGTTTGTCGTCAGCTATGCGTTTGACTGTCCATCAAATGCGTTCGTCTCTGCTGAAGTCATCATGTACCAGAATAGTCTGCACATACAAAATAAGTCATATGTTAAAACACAAAGTGAAATAACTGTTCGCCCGCTTTCATCATCATTGAAGGCATTCATTTTCATTTCTCATGGGTGATGTTAACCATATTTGATAAACAGCCTTTGTTAGTTCAGCGGTTTTGAACTGACAGTACTTCTAAATAGAATGAACATATGTATGTTCAGAGGCGTAGCTAGGGTGAAATTGATGTGTACGCACACACCGTGGGGAGGTCGGGGCGGGTCCTGCCCACAGAAAATTGTTGAAAAAAGTATATACGCAGGAGATGCGTATTTTGAGGCCACTTTCGATGATAAATGTACAGCTTTCTTCTGACTACGACAATTATATTTATTAGATAGAATGAAGCAACATTATCTCTATTAAGAGATTAACTATATCTGCTTCTATGAGCAACAAGATGTGATCACTAAAGATCACTAAACACTAATTCATTGAAGCTCGTCGTCACACGACCGACCTTAACTCGAGTAAGCGTTAACTCGACTGTTAGCGCATTATATCAGCGTACTTGACACGATAGCTACGATTCGCTAACTCGAGTTTAAGCCCCGGTGTGGACGCTTAACTCGATGTTAAGGTTCGATCGTGCTAGACGAGGCTTCTGTGTGCGGGCCATTCGTTTAAGTTCGCGCTTCATTATATCAATGTGTAGGGGTTGACCACCGCTGGGATGAGGGCGACAGCCAAAACTTCTTTCTTGGAATTGCGTTGAAAAATCTGCCAAAAGGCGTTGTAACCTGCTTGCCACTAGCCATAATGTATTTAAGCCTATGTATTCAGGCGGTGACGTTTTGTACAGCCCAACGCGACTATGTAAAAATATTGTTTTAGTCCAAACGAGGGAGGGCGGTAGCGTAGCCACCCAATCCACCTCCCCCCCCCCCTAAATCCGCCACTGAGGCTGTAATGCTTGTGAGTAGAGATATCCAATAGACATATGCTCGAGACGAGACCAGTCTACGCGGATGAATGCTGTTGAAAATGGTTTGAATCAAGCGATCAAAAAATAAAAACGTTTAAAATAATATGAAAAAATAAATTCGACGCCTAAACGCCTAAATAAAATACGTTCACCGGTAAATACACAGATGCTTTCCGCTAATGCTAATTCCTATCAGGGATATCACGTGTCACGCTAGGCAAAACATCAGAAGAATAAAATATATAAGGCTATAATATTAATAAAGCTTTAATATGCGACTTTGGCATTGATCGTTCGCAGCGTGGGGTTGTTATTTGTTTATAAACAGATTAGTTCTAACTGACCTGACGACTGACTGACTGCACTGACTGCTCTCTCTTCTCTCTCTCTCTCTCTCTCTGCTCTCTCTCTCTCTCTCCGCTCGTCGCTCTCGCTCTCGACTCTCTCTCTCTCTCTCTCTCTCTCTCTCCTCTTCTCTCTCTCTCTCTCTCTCGTCTCTCCCTCTCCCGTTCTCCCTTCCCTCTTCCCTCTCCCTCCCCTCTCCCTCGTCCCTTTCCACTCTCCCTTCCTTCCATCTCCCTCTCCCTCTTCCCTCTATCCTCTCTCCCTCTCCCTCTTCCCTCTCCATCTCTCTCTCTCTCTCTCTCTCTCTCTCTCTCTCTCTCTCTCGCCGTCTCTCTCTCTCTCTTCTCTCCTCTCTCTCTTATCCTCTATAATCGTGGTGCACTACAGTTATTTGCATATCAAGCCAACCAGTTAATGCTTCATGAATTATTACTGTGAACACATTTGCTTGACTGAAAACTGTGATTCAACTGCTTCGATGCTCTCTCTAGATGAATCTTTATCATGCTCAGTTTTCTCGCTCTCACCCTTTCCACCTCACACTGCGCGACCCTCTGATCGAACTTTAGAATGTCATGTCTTTTACTCACTACTTAGTTTATAAATGCAGGGAGACGTTTTCATCGTCTGCAGTATAGTCTGGTCCAGCCATATAGTTTTTTAGCTGGCGACCAATATATCTATTAATTTTGGTGTATATACTCGGCGTCGAATTTATGATGACTGCCAATAAACGCACATAAACGTTTTAGTGTTGTTGTTAAACTGTGAACAGATTGCCTGAATGTGTAGTTGAAGCTTGGCTACTGCTCAACTATTTTCCGCACTGAAGAATGACTATCACAGCTTTTGGGGTAGGGTGTCTACGGTGCGCGTCAGAGAACACAGGGTGCACTAATCGCCATAGTGACATAGTAAGCCATCATGTATGTTTAAATCTGCCATGGTCATTGCGCAAGTCGGTCTGTACAAGATGCCGCTCCCGACTGCCGCCACCTGCATGAACAAAGCTTAGCCGGCTAACCCATTTATATAATTTCACCTATTGCATCAGGTGGACGTCGTTACTGTACAAGCCACGCGACTATGTAAAATATTCGTTACCTAGCTCCAACAGAGGGAGTAGCAGCCACCCAATCCACCCCCCCCCCATTAAAATCGCCACTGAGGTAGTAGCTTCGTGAGATGAGATATCTCAATAGTTATTGGCGCTGTTCCAAAATTGCCCATCGCCACCTCGTGCGCGATTAAATGTGCGACGTCGCACATTTTGCTGTTCCATAATTGGCCGTCGCGGTCCGTGTTATTATTTTTCCTCTCAACCACGACGGTCGCCTTGCTCAACGCGACGTTGCGCTTTTCAACGACGCCGTTCAACGCGATCGCCCCTTTTTCAAACGCGCACTCGCCTTTACCCGCCCTTTTTTTCAAACGCGCACGCCGCCCCTTTTTCAAATATCCAGACTTTTGGATTATCCGTTCGCGTGGTGTTATTTGTTTTATTAAACAATTTAGTCTCTCACTAGACTGACCTCTCTCTCTCTCTCCTCTCTCTCTACTCGTCTTCTCTCTCTCTCTCTCTCTCTCTCTCTCTCTCTCTCTCTCTCTCTCTCTCTCTCTCTCTCTCTCATCTCTCTCTCTCTCTCTCTCTCTCTCTCTCTCTCTCTCTCTCTCTCTCTCTCTCTCTCTCTCTCTCTCTCTCTCTCTCTCTCTCTCTCTCTCTCTCTCTCTCTCTCTCTCTCTCTCGCCGTCTCTCTCTCTCTCTCTCTCTCTCTCTTTCTCTCTTGCTCTCGTATTAATCGTTATTTTGGTGTATATCTCGGTCGAATTTATTTATGACTGCAATAAACGCACATAAACGTTTTAGTTTGTTGTTAAACTGTGAACAGACGTGCAATGTGTAGTTGAGCTGGTACTGCTCAACTATTTTTCCCACTGAAAGAATGACTATTACAGCTTTATGGGGTAGGGGGTCTGGTGGGGTCAGAGAACACAATGTGCACTAACGCCATATATCTAGACAGCATACATCGTGAAACACCACAGCACTGCTTATAGTTTTGAATGTATGCTTTGTGTTTATTTCTATGTTAGAATAAACAGTTCATTAAGATTCCTTGCACATTACGAAAGAATTAGCTGGTACGTGATATAGTGAGACTAAAACCAAAGAACGGAGCCGAGCAGGGTATAACAATTAGGAGCTTCCAGTTGTTAGTTATGTTCTATCTTTGCCATTACCTAATGAGTAATGATCTATGTCTATTTAGAACGTTTATTCTGAGTGCTCTTTTTTGTTGACTTTCCGTTACTCTTATTTATTGACTTTTCTGGGTTATGGCCCCAGAAAATACGAACGAATCCATTTAGTCTTTCTGTAAGGAAACGTAATTCGGGATTTTGTTTGCAGAAGGTCATAGGGACAGCTTTTCATTATCATGATGACCCTACAATTTGTGTAATAGCCCCCATGTTATAGCTGTGATGCCCATGGCATAATCACCCTTTCTCATTCCCCTTATTAATTAGCGTGAAACCTCTCACGTATCATATTTGCTTCTTGTCATGTTATTGCCCTGCACTTTGCTCCAAATGTAATCGTACTCGGATGTGTTTAGCTCATCTGACATAGTCAGATGCAGCTTGTAGAATCGCATGAGCGTGCGTGCGTCCGTGCGTCCGTCCGTGCGTCAACAGTTGGGCACAAATCTTAACCGCTTGATGTACGGTCACGATATTGGGGACGTCGGGGGGATCGTCAAAACGAGTTGTGATGTCGAAGCTGGGGGTCAAAGGTCAAAGGTCAAGAGGTGTAAAAGAAGGGGGAACATTCCCTCCTTAACTTAAGGTATTTGCTGCGAACCCCAAATTTTCCTTTTATGCATAGCTAGCTCCAAGAAACGGTATTGCTAGGGTTAGAATACCCTATGACGTTGTATAGTTGACTATGAAGGTGTATTGACGTTAGTCACACAGCCTGGTCGGGT